CCCCAAAACCCCAAAACCCCAAAACCCCAAAACCCCATTGACATTAATGTGATTAGATAGAAATAAAAATGAATTTGAAATTAAAAATATTGTGTGGATTTCGTTGTTTAAACGAAGGAATGGTTAAAATGATAAAATTCTTATCTAATTATCAATTGTACTACCTTATGTTAATCGTACACAGTATTCCAAATATTTACAGAATAATTTTAACTCTCTAATAGTTGATGAAGTAGTACTTATAGCTTCATTTAGTTGTTTTCTTAAGATGAATCTTGAAGGATTGAACTTTTTCATAGGATTAATTATTGAGATTATTTACTACCTATACCGAATCTAAGTCCTTCACTAAATTCAGCAAATTCTCTCTAATTCCTTTAAAACCCTTTTATTGTTGCTAAATCAGTTTTTCTAGGGGTTGCTCCTTGACATAGCCTTGCTTCTCTGGTGAGATACTCGCTTGTTTATAAGACTTGAAGAAAGAAGTAGTTCTACCATTGTGAGTTTACTTTTAGCTTTAAAAGTAATCAATATCCTCTTTTTGTTCTTGGAAAATATTATAGTTATTAGTATTACTGAATACCCCATCAGACAGGTCCAAAGATTTTCTATATTCAAAATCTTTGAAATTCGCCAGTTCAGAGAGTTTAACACTTAGTGCTTTCATCGCTGACTTTGGCAGGATCTTTTTACTGCTAATAGACTTCCTAGGTTAATTGGAGAATCTCTAGGAATCTGGACTGTTAGATTGGGTCGCTTGAAGATTTTCTGATGAGGTTTCGGAACACCCACTAATAGAGTCATTTATCTTTCTGTTCACAGCCTTAACCCGCCGAATGGGTGCTGAATTTTAAGAAACTTGAGACTCATTGTCCTCCATGCTTTAATTGAGATCGGTTAAATGTTCTTGCTGGTCATTTAGTAGTCCACAATGCTGGAGTTTAAGTATAGATGACGTCGTCTGCACTACTTTTATATCTTGCCCATTATTTGAAAAAAAGGAGGATTCCAAAAGATCCCCATCATAACTCAAATTTTATGATATATTATCACCGTGGCATAAAGCTGACTTCTACTCTGACAAACAGTACTACTAATCGAAATACTGTTATTTCTTTTAGGATTGAATTTAAGGACTCAGGCAGAGCACTTTCTTTTTATTTAGCGCTGATTTGTAACTTTACTTAATTTGTTTTCCAATTTATTACAAATAATTGAGAGCGATTTCTTGCTAATTTATCTTAGGACTCTTAAGCCCCATCAGTCTGTCTTTCACCTTCTTTCTGTCGCATGATTCACTCCTCAAAGCAGGGCTTACTATCAAAAGATCGGATAACTCAGAGCTCTAATTACTGTTTCTTGAGTTCGAAGATGGTTGTAAGAGATCTAATTTAGGCTGAACTATAATTTAGGACTGCTCAGGGAAGAATTTTAATGGATTGAAGTCAGCGGGTGTTTCTAGATGCTGTAGTTTCATCCTGGCAATTGAAATGCTGATATTTTCTCTTTAAGTTCGAGAACGGGTTAAAAACTGGTACTCAGTAAGGGATTTTAGATAAGAGCTCATGGACCGAATTAATTTTTATTTCTATTATTAATATAGCGATTTTAATCATTTAAATTTTAAGTTCCCATCATGAATTGTTTAGATGAATATTTTAAATTAGATATATTTTATTGAAAATATTTTATTTATCCTCCAATTAATTACAAGACTTTACTTATCGGGGTTTTGGGGTTTTGGGG